ACAATCAGCTTTGGTGTAAAGTAGGGCTGCAACAAACGATTATTTGGATAATCGATTAATCGGATGGGGTCTCGACACGATTAATCGATTAATCGGATTACATGGGGAAATTTTTAAAAACTGCTAGGGAAACGTTATTTCTCTCCTTCCTTCACTTTATTTAACACAACATTATTAGAAAACAGTTCAATAGCAGAAAAACAACATGTCATCACCTAAATTGTCTTATAAGGTGTATAGACAGAGACCCTAAGCTACATCTATCTGTGACCTAAAATGCTTGGTCCAAGTTAAACAGCTTAAGGGCAATTCTCATCTGTTTTGTTTGATCTCATCTGTTGACATTTATTTTAAATGTAATTAAACATTGGCTGTGAATTATTCATAATTGATCACTATTTCCAAAAATGACTGAAAAATACCAAATAAAACAAAAGTAAATTAATGCCATCCTCCTTGTGATGATGCCCTGGGTAACTGCCATAAAGTCACATCAAGAAATGCTGCTGATCATTCCAATGATCCCAAATAGACTCACATTAGGCCACATGAAAGCAACTGAACTCAAAAATATATTAACCAGTATATAACTGCACTCTCACACAACACGCCTGCAGCAACAGTTAGGACTCCTCCCTCCCTTTTAAAAGCGTTTTTGCTTCCGAGGACATTGTGGTTGTAAAACCACATAATAGTAGTCTGGCCCCGGTGTGATCAACCAGTTTCTGCGGGAATGTGACGGCGGAACCAGGGCCAGATTAAGACTTTGTTGTACCCTGGGCAACAATATTCAAGGGCTCCATCATCACGACCCGAGGATCACCATAATATGGTCACATACAGAATATTTTACTGTAATATGCAGTAAATATACTCGATACTTGAATACCTGACAACACGTAACCCGCCCAGAGTAACCTTTGACCCACCTCGTGTGGACTGACCAATGAGGAGAGGGTCTTAACTTGAGGCCCTCTCTTCATTGGTCAGTCTGCATGAGACTGAAGCCTGGTTTATGCTTCTCCGTCAGCTCCGCAAGGGACAGACACGCACGGATTGACGGAAGCGTTTTGCTCTTTTACTTCTCCGTCTCCTGGAGAGTGTTGCAAAGCAATTGCCCGGCAGGACAACAGAGGGCGTAGCGCTGTTCTGTGGTATCCTGTCATGTATCGGTCCAAGATCGTTTGTTTATATTGTGTTTTTTGTGTATATAAGAGACTTTCAACACGGACATATTTGTCTCTCATTCTCCCACCGCTTCTTGCGCTCCCCACCTCTAAACCCACGTTTCCTGTCATTTCCGTCCACAAATAAAACGCTTGCTGCGCATCTTTTCACTTCTCCAGTCACGGGAGGATTAAACGTTCATATTTTTAGAGTTTTTTCACGAGGTATTCTTCAAGCTTCTCCGTGTCTGCCGCTAGTTAAACTCGGCTCTCTTTGCAATGGCGGCGCTGTAAACAACAGCGGCGTCCTGACCAATCACAAGCTTGCGTAATCCGTCTCATTCGACGGATGTTTAAAAAAGTGGGCTCGACTCCGTACGTACTTGCGTGCCTGCCGGGGCCCTACACAAGGACGGATAATGGCGTTGCGTTTGCTCCGCACTGACGCAGACGGAGAAGCATAAATCAGGCTTAACTCTCAACTGACGTTCAGAGTCATAGGCAGCGAAGCGTCTCTGTGCAGCGCAAAAGCCCGGGTGGACAGTTTGTTTAATATAGGGTGACCATATTTCCATTTCCAAACAAGAGGACAGGGGATCTGTGCCTATGACGTCACACTATGGCAACGCCACACAATCCATGTTGGGACCCATTTTTTGTAAGAACTAAATTAATATCATATTCTGCCAATAAAAGGGCTCTAAAACAATTCATATGTAAATATTTTGCATATTTAATGCAAAATCTCATTTTTATGCTTTAGTGCTGCAACAAGGTTTTATTAATAATAAATTATTATACCTTTTGTTTTACTACAGCATCGGTACGCTTCCTGTGCAGATTATTAAGGATGCTTGTTTCAGCTGGGAGATTAGACGATAGGATCAATGAAAAAATAAGTTGTCCCACACTCCATGGAAACTTTCAGAGAATCCACAAATAGTGGCTTTCAAATGGTTTAGCTACTTTTAGCAAGTTTAGAAAAGCAGCAGATGAGACAGCATGTCTGATAATTTAGTTTTTCATCTGATAATATTAGAACATGTCAGTAATGTCTGAGGAGCTTTTATAAACACTGTATAACTAATACTCCTGGAGAGGGCATGAATTACACAGAGGCTTCTGGGGAGCCCAGCTATGGGGGGGGGGGGGGGGGGGGGGGGGGGTCATTTTGCCTTGGCCCCCAAAATGTCTTGAAACGGCCCTGGGTGTGTGACAGTGTTGAAGGTGATCTGAATTGTATCAGATGTATAAATATGACATGTGTATAACTTGTTGTTTTTACTGGTAAAAACGTGTAATGGAGATAAATCTACCTACATTTTACTTTTCAACACTTTCTTTTGTTTTCTTGTTTTTATTCAACTATATTTTCCTGTCCTGTCTGTCTCTCATCTTCCTGCATCTCCTCTAAACTCTCCAGAAAATCTGCTGCCTGGATTCTTACTTTTTCACCTCATCAGTTACTTTTGAGCAGATCAAAGATCTCCTAACCGCAAAGCGCAGAGCGCGTTTTTGATGCTGCGTGAGGTGAAATCACCGCAGCACAGGTGATGAGCTCCGCAGTAGCGCGCTTCAGGCACAAATAAGACAGAAAATAGAGAACATGTGCAGACATGAACGATCGTGTGCTAATTATAGTTTTTTGGTTGCGCCACTTTGAGAATGGACCGTGCGCTGGAAGCAGCTGCCTGGATCGCAGCGCAACAATGCGGAACCGGTTCGCAGCAGCAAGTCTGCCGGCTCTCCCTCACGCTGATCTGCCGCTACCGGCTCTCCCTCGCGCTGATCTGCGGCTCTCCCTCGCGCTGATCTGCGGCTCTCCCTCGCGCTGATCTGCCGGCTCTCCCTCGCGCTGATCTGCGGCTCTCCCTCGCGCTGATCTGCCGGCTCTCCCTCGCGCTGATCTGCGGCTCTCCCTCGCGCTGATCTGCGGCTCTCCCTCGCGCTGATCTGCGGCTCTCCCTCGCTCGCGCTGATCTGCGGCTCTCCCTCGCGCTGATCTGACTTGCTCTGGTCTGCGCGCAACGGCGGGCGGGAAGGGGGGGGGGGGGGGGGGGGGGGCGCTTTTGGAAGAGTTGTGCGACACAACGAATCGATGACGCAATTCGTTGCCAACGCTTTTAGTAATCGATTTTCATCGAATTTATCGATTCGTTGTTGCAGCCCTAGTGTAAAGTGAAATGCTGTTTATAACATAAAGTTATAAATCCAGAGGGGTGAGTTTAGGCAAAGTCAGCAACATGTTTACATCGGTGAACAGCTGCAGAGAGAACGTAAGCTAATGTTGGTAAGCTAGTTAGCATACCGCTCTCTATGAGCCCCGCTAGATGTGCTACTTCTTCTGATAACTGAACTGGGCATGAACTAGTTGAAGGAATGCTGAAGGAGTTTTATTTTTTGTTTTGATTGCAAAAACAATTTCAGGCTCTACTTTTCCCTTTGTTTAGTACTCGTGTTGCTCACTGTTTACATGCTTTTGCCGTCCAGCATGGTGGACCCACGTGATTAGGTGACGTCGATGCAAAGGGTCAATTGCCAGTTACGGCTCAACGCCAGAAGTTTCTCGATGACGAGTGAAGACGAGTCTTACATGGTAAGTTCGTGAGCAGATGAATACACTCTCATATCCAGTTGTTGGTGATTGAATAAGTAGTTTGAGATATCTTTAGCACTATTTGATAAACTGTTAGCATCGTTAGCTCCTCATTAGTCTGCTTCACCCGATATCGGAGTAACAAAAAAGATGCGGTGGCTTCTCAGGGGGTCAAGAAATAACTTCTGGGTTGTTCCTGTTTACTGGCTTTGTTCTTTGTTCTGAACGCACATGTTCGAATAAACTAAAGTTAAAGTTTTGCCAGCATGTTTTGAACTACAAATGCCAACGCTGCGTTGCTGGCTGGTGCAGACTTGGCAACCCCGCAGACTCACAGACTGTAAACAAAGACTACCTCCCTCTTCGGCCATTTTGAAAGGAGGAAAACTAAAACCAACATGATTGAGACATTAGACTGTTTTGTGATTATTTCACTTGTTCAGCTTTTTTTTTTTTCTGTGGCACAGCTACATCGCTGCAATTTGTGAAATTCAACAAAACAATGTGAACTGATATGAGTGATTCATCCATTAGAAAGTCACAATATCTGTGAAAACCTCGGTTGATTCGTTAAGTGTGGCTGAGAGACGCAGAACCTCCCGGCGAAAAAAGGACAATTATCTCAAGATCTTACAAAAAAGATTTTTTCCTTATTTCTCGTCTGGGGCTTGATGACGAACGATGAAAAAATAAATGAGAGAATAAAATAGGAAATAAATATTAATTAGGAATCAAACAAACTAAAATCAATTCATGTCGTGCAGCATTGCTTTCTCTGACATCATTATGTGGAATAACTAACACACACACACACACACACACACACACACACACACACACACACACACACACACACACACACACACACACACACACACACACACACACACACACACACACACACACTTTTTTCTTAAACTGTCAGATTCAGTTATTTCTGTATGTTTTGTTTCCCAAACTGCAGCTGCAGAGGAAGTGCAGCTCGACATTTACATCAGAGTTTCCAGAAACATATTGTGTGCTAATGAGGGTCCATAAACCGAGACATAGGACGCGGTCCAAACGTCTTTCCTCAGGTTTTTACAGCGACCATAAACACGCATGCAGAAAAGCGTCGGTCCTGTTGGAAACATGAACAGATTTCCCCCGTAACTACTGAACAATAAAAATCTGTGACTTTGGTTCTGGTTCTGCAGCTGGATGGGATGAAATCAGAGAAACACCTATGTGGTTCTCACCAGGATGTCCCCTTTCAGAAGAAGACCCGGTTCGATGGTGATGCAGATGCTCGTCTGGCTGTCTCCTTGGACGTTACTGTAAATAAATAAATAACATAAACCAGAACCCATTCCACAGATCTGCTTTGCTGGTTTGGATCTAAATCAGGGGTGCCAAACTCAGTTTTGCTCAGGGGCCACATTGAGGAAAATCTAGTCCCAAGTGGGCCAGACCAGTAAAATTAAAATATGTATGAATTAAAAACTGCTTCAGATTGTTTTCTTTGTTTTAATACGATCAACATAAAACAAAGCTGGAGCCTGAGGACAGTGTGTCCTAAATAGTTTAAGCACAACACGACTATTAATAATAAAACACCTGAAGTGTATTTGAAAATGTGAAATACCAAACAAAAAACCCAGACTATTCCTCAGTAATTCAAATAACTGATTCACAGATCACATGGCTAAACCAGTTTCATGCATGTCTTTGACTCCTGATACCTGACATCTTTTAGCTTTCACCAGCAGTTTAATTGTAAAATGAAAGCAAGTCTGAAAATAAGGTTTACACAAACGTCTTGCGAGCCGGATTTAAACTGTGTGCGGGCCTGATCCTGCCCGCGGGCCACATGTTTGACACCCCTGATCTAAATCGTGCGAGGAACCAGTTACTTTGCTGAACTTTAGTCTAAACGGGTCTTTAGGGGATACAGGGTTCCAGGAAGACATAAGTAAACTGACTTTGCAGCTTTTATAAACCTTTACGCCACCATCAGGGTCACTGCAACCCGGGTTGGATTCAGTGACACTTTGTTCATTTTCCTCAGCCTAGCCATTAGCCTATCAATCCTGGGTGGCATTAACAGTAAAGGGTTAAACGAGTGAACTTTTAGACTTTTTGTGGATTCTCATTTAAAACACAAAAGTTCCTGAAGTCCACAAACAAAATGGTTTTGACCAAGTGGAGTTAGGCCTGTGGATGTCTACTGGGAGTTAGGGGAGAGATTGGGCAGGGTTTATCATCCAGCACGTTATCCCTGGAATCTTGTAAAAGCACTTGAGTGTGAGCATGTGGGTTTTTAAAACTTACTAGATCCCAGATGTGTAAACGGGCTGCATGGCCTGGTAGATCTTCAGGAACGGACGACAACCTGGAACAGAATGACAGTCAGAGAACAGCCGATGGGTGTGCTGCAGGTGAGTTCCTTGTTAATGAAACCTAACCTCCTTTGGACTCAAAGTTGGGAATGCCGTGCATGATGACGTGATGAAGGAAGAGCGGTTTGTTGTTGATCTTGATGTGTCCGGAGAGCAAGCCGCTGAAGTACTCCACATACCTGCAAACACAACCAGAGCTAAAAAACAGGCTGATTTTGGTCTTTATGTAATAAGAAAAGCAGATAAGGGTTCTGTTCCACCCTCAGGAGGAAACATGAATCACATTTATGCAGCTTTAATTGTTTTTATCTTGTAAAAGACATTTTTTTTTATTGGGGAGTTCATGCAGGGGTCAAAAATGACAGGCTGACCTTTTCTGGGACGGCTGACCCACAGGAAGTACTTTGTCTTCATAGAAACGCTTCATGGCGAAGCGATCCAGAGCCTGGTCCGCGCTGCGGTCCAACATAAATGATGGTCAGAACATTTTCTACTCACACAGCAGTTCTTATTAGGGTGGAAACACTTGTCAGAGTCAGATGAGATCATTACGGGGGGAATCGAGACAATCAAGAATAATAAAACAAGAAGAATCAGATTTTTTTAATCTACTTTTGAGATTAAATTTAGGCTCTTATTGTGGAGGATTAAAGGAACGGTTCTGGTTCCTGGACGGGTTCAGGGCCTACCTGGCTGATATGTTGCTGTAGTGCATGTAGGCAGCCACTACCACCCCGGTTCTGCCTCGGTTCCCCTGGAGTCAGAAAACATCACTTCAGATGAAATCTGCAGAGTTATTCTGGAGGTTAAAGTTCAAAAGAACATTTCGGACGCTGAAACTTTAACATCCTGGTTGTTTGTTACCGGATGTTGCATTCACTGGAACTTGGAATTCAGAGATCCTGAATGATTCTTTGTCTCAGATGCTGTCAGACATGCTGATACTTAGGAAAGTTTAAAATTAGACATCAACAGCGACTCTCATTCATTTTTGGTGCTTACCACAACTTTGGGTCTGTTTGAAATGTAAAATAAAAGATCATATTTGGGCATCATTGTCTTTTTTGTGTGCAATTTTGTGTATTTCTGGTTTCTTTCATAAGATCTCTCACATTTCCTGCATCCTGATAAAAACTAAATCGATGGTTTCAAGACCCCCCCCACAAACAAACCAAGACCCTGCTTGAAACCCAAACGCACCACCAGCCCTGTGGGATGTGTGTGTATACAACGTTAAATTAAGGGTCTCTGGCCCTCCTACGATCAGCCACAAAACAAAGAGCTGAAAAGAGACTTGGTGCTGCAGTCCTGTTGTGTTTTATCTAAAATAAGTCACAGCGCTGATGTCGTTAGGTCCGTTTTAGGGGGGCTTCAGCCCCCCTAAAATAATCACAAGCCCCCCTATCATTTTAGTTTATTTTATTTTTTTCAGTTAACTTTTTTTATTTGTTCACATCTACATGCTGAACACAATCATGACATGTGTAATTGGTACATGAGTTTTTTAGTCTGAAACAGAAATAATAATTAATGAATATAGAACTACACCGTCGCACACAGGAAGTATCAAGAAAGGACTTCCTCCACTTCCTTAAGCCCGCAGCTTTGTTGACAAGTCAGGGGGCGGGTCGATACAGAAAAACCTTTATATCGATGAGCAAACCCTGCTCAGCGCTCATGTAAGTCACTCAACATCACATTAGGGTAAGACAGCAACAGCAGCACACCGTTAATATTTCAAGGTTATAGTTCAGACGAGAGTGGAAAATGCTACCGCACCGACATGCTAATGCTAACTCCGCTAGCATGTTTACATGCCGCAAACCATAATGAAAAGCTTTGATGTCAAGTAAAATGGTCGGAAAACTCCCCTGAAGTGACATGATTAACGAGCCAGCCAGTTCATTGAGTGACTTAGTGCCACCAACTTGAGCATACAGTAATGAGTCTGCACAAACAGAACCTGTTCTGCGCTTGTGTGCAGCAGCTGCAGCCCTCTCTATGGGATCAATTCTGCACATGCAAATCTCTCCCTGCTCTCCTCAACAAGTAGCCTCTCCAACAGTCAATCACAGACAGCTCTGTTTTATCCAACCAAAGCATGTCCAGGGAACACTGCTTTACAGAAAAACACCCATTTAACAGCTTATTAAACTGCTTTCTGCTGCTGGTTAGCTACCAGTCACCATCCACTGCCTGCAAGATACTTTGTTGTAATTCATGTGTCATGATTAGAGTGACCATATTTGACTTCCAGAAAAGACACATTGCCTATTCCTAAAACTGTTAAATTGCACTCTTTTCAGTTAAAAATGACTTTTAATTTCAACATATAAAGTGTTTCTTCTCTGTTTGGTTAGACATAAATGATCCCTTGATGTGTAAAAGGAAGTGAACAGTGGAAATGTCCCAGGAAAAGAGGAGGGTTAATCAACCTAATTAAATATAATTATATAAAGTCCTCTTTATCTGAAAAAAGTGCAATTTTCCTGCCAGTATTTCCTGGACATGCTTTGATTGCATAATGGAGAGCTCTCTGATTGGCTGACGGAGAGGCTACATTGCTTTTTAAATTGCAAATTGAGCAACAGCAGGGAGATTTGTGCAGGCAGAGACGGAGTTGAGCATGCAGAGAGAGGGCTGCATACGACGTTGTGCTCTTGCAGATTGATCACTGCACGCTCCAGTTGGTGGCACAAAAATCACTCCACACTAAAAACCTGAATCAGAATCTGGCCGAATGTGTATATTATTGACCATTTTTCTATATTATATATATTTTTCTATAATATATATATATATAATATATTATAGGTACATATATGTATCTATAATATAGTAAACAGCCAGTTTTATATATGTCACATATATTCAAAAGCTACATCAAAACATATATTAAAACCTATATGTTTATGACTTCTTTCCATGTGGGTTGTCAATTGCTTAATATTTCCTATGTTTACCTATGGGAAAGAAAGGAGATATTGTACTCATCTAACTTTAACATAAATTTTGGCAGCTCGATGTGATGTTATGGAAAATGCCATCATCATGAGCAACCAAACATAGGCTATATTAGGCTAACAGTTGTCCATATTCTGTACCATCTATCCACCAATGGCTGTTTCAATTATTGTGAGTGAAAACTAAATGACATAGTAGCATTTGTCTTGGCATTAGAAATTGAAAATGTTTTTCAATGTGTTGGCTAGATGGATATACGAAGACTTTTTTAAGAGAGTGAGTGAGGAACAGGAGAGAGACCAGGTGGTTGATGCTGGGGAGATCTGCATGGTCAAGGTCAGTGATCTACAGAGAAAACAGGGGCGAGCGCACCGTTATGAGCATTTACCTGAGCACAAAGTTCCCAAGCAAAATTGAACAGTTTTCTATTTAGGAGTGAACATGTAAGAGACATTGAGAAAAAAATAACTATAATTATCATCTGGCCTGCAACCTTATGTCAAGTTGTATCTGTATAGTTGACTTTCTGTATTATAAGTTCTACTACTTGCTGGATATTTTTATATATACTGTTATTTTGTCTTGTAATAGTTAATTAAACACTCCTTTATTCCATATCATAGCAGTGTTATTCATATATTAAAATTGTCAACTGCACACTCATTTGGCAGAATAAAAGTTTTACAATTATTCATTTGTTCTTTATTGTCATATTTCAGTAACAGTTATAATTAAACAAGTTGTAAGTAAACAAATTAAATAAATGACTACAACATTTCCCCCTGTTAAGTGCAGTAGACTGAAATGAATAGCTTTATTTGGAAATATAACATATCTCATTTTTAATGGACTTACATAAAATCTTTCTTCAACATAGACCCCACTAATGAACTGATTAAGTGTTATTTTTTATGAAAAGAAGAGAGAAAATGCACAAAAGTAGGAAAGGAAAAGAAAGTGATAAAATAATAGGTTTTGTTAAATGTTCTTCAGATAATGAATTAATTGACAAAGTTTTTGCAGGGTGTGACAAAAAACGTTCGAGGTCAAGCTCCTGGGGCTAAGCCCCCCCTATATCTCAATCCTAGTGACGTCCATGAGTCACAGCAAGCTCTTTGTAGCCCATGCAAATGTGAAAAAATGGCTCCATTTACCCAACTCTGCTGCAGACACAACTGAGGAATGTTTTGCACATCATGCAGAAGGTTTCAGCCAACATGGTCAGTTTCCTTAGGGACCACATTCTCATCACCAGTGAGTATAATAGAAACACTGGTTGCTATGGCAGCCACTTATTTGTGGGCAGATGCAGGAACGTGGCTTGAAAGTTTTGAGTTTCTGTTTAAATCTGCAGCAAAGAGACGTAACGACACTGAGGCGTGAGACTGTGAAGCTTTGGCGTGGCGATTGTATTTAGATGTCGTTTTATGAGCTGCGTCGGCGTGTTTAGGAGCCAGATGAGTGTGGCTCACCACAGCCGTTTAATGTGAAGCAACAACAGGGAAATATTGGTCAACTCTAATTTTATGGCACTGTGGAGGGCAGAGGGGTAAATAAATGCTTGTAGAACGATGATTATGATGCTTTGATTTGTGCTTTCCTTACGCATTTCGAGCAGAACCCAAACAAACAGAGAAACACAAACACTCCACCCCGCAGTCTGACAGCACCATCTGCTGCACAGAGAGGCTTCATCCATCCTCACCTTGTTATGAATCACCACCACGTTGTGGCTGTCGGCGCTCAGCCACGTGTCCATGGCCTTACAGATGCTGCAAATTCTGTCCAGAGCTGGAGCGTGGTGGTCGGGCCAGCCGAAGTCCAACACCTGAGACAGGAGGAGACAGGCTGGTGGTGGGACGAGTGGTCATGTGACCCGTGGATGACTAGAAACACCAGTTTACCTTTGGGTTGAGTTGGCTGATGTCATAACGCTTTTCACTCAGGTTAAAAAGCTAAAAGCAAAATGGTTAAAAAAATAAGTAAAATAAATTATTTAGCATTTACAACAAATTCAACTAAACATTTTATAGGTCATCTGTTCTAAATCAACGTCTTATTTTATTAGGTTGTAACCCTAAATATTCTATCATCTATTCATTTATATATTTATTTATACATGATTGATTTTCTTATAATTATCATTTGCATTTCTTCTATTATCTCAACCTCACTAATAAAAGCTAATAATTAGCATTCTTATGTTCATAATGAACACATTATGTTAGCAAACCTGATGTTTCATTTATGTCTTTTTATTCTGCCCTTTTCTATCTTCAGTAAATAAAATTAAAAGGTGTCTAAACTAAATAATCCTGGACAGAAATCTGAACTCCTGAGGGTGTGTCAGAGCCGTTTAGCTTGTCCTACATCTAAACCCAGACATGTTTGTGGTTGTGACGTCAAAAAGCTTTCTGGTCCAGTTCAGACAGAATCAGTTGCTAGCAGACCGTCGCAGTAAATAACTATCAAATGAACTGTTTCTATCAACCAGAGCCTTCCCGTTGTTGAAACCCAGACACTGATTGTGATTTGGAACCAGTATTTGTTTATCTAATCTAAACCAAAACTAATGGGAGCGACGTCATGTTGAAGCCGTACCAGGTAGTTGTGGCCGTGTTTGGAGCGCAGCATGGAGGCCACCTCCCTCAGGTTGGCAGCATAGCTCTGCTCCTCCACGCTGCTGGGGAAGGAGACGGAGATGATCCTCTCAGTGATGTAGATCAGGTCCAGCTCGTAGTTCTCCTCCAGGGCCTGCAGCAAACTCGCGCTCCTGCTCCAAGAAACAACCAAGGTTAGAAATAATCTGAGATCAGCAGAGTTACAAACACACCATCTCCTTGATTATTTGTTGTGAATGACTCTCACCAACTAATGCATGAAGCTTTAGCTCCATTTCTGTAAAACTGATGCTCTTAGAGCAACTGGATGGCAGCCATCATGAATTGGATTGACTTCGAAAGTCAATTTATTATTTGTTTTGTTAAATCTTGTGGTTTCTGGCATACTTTGAGAAAAAATGGTAAAAAAGATTGGGATTTTTTTTCTAGTTTAAACAACTTTTCAGGTCCCGTCCTGTTCTGTCTCTGAATGCCTCATCCTCTGAATTATTTTTATTTATTCTTTAAGGTCCCATTGAGATTAAAAACCTCATTTTCAAGGGAATCCTGGCCAAGTCTGAAGCAGAGGCATTTGGAATCAGTGATTCACGCACTTAGTCCCGATTAGACTATGCAAACGCACTCCTCACTGGCATTCCCGACTCAGTCTAAATCGGCTACAGGTTGTCCAGAATGCAGCTGCAGGATCCTAACGAATACAAACAGATGTGGCCACATCACACCGGGCCTTGCACGCCTTCATTGGCTCCCTGTCACAATCCGTGTACAGTTCAAGCTGCTGACTTTTGTTTTTAAAGCACTACATGGTGAAGCACCAGCATACCTGTCAGAACTGCTTACACCTTATGTTCCCGTATGCTCGTTGAGGTCAGCTGATCACCTCCTGCTCTGTATTCCACAGATGTATTATAAATCGAGGGGTGAGCGAGCATTTGTCCACGCTGCCCCCCAGCTGTGGAATGCATTGCCCATCACTGTAAGGCAGGCTCCCTCTTTGGCAGTTTTTGATCTCGCTTGAAAACCCACTTTTCTGGATTAGCTTTTAATTTCTGACTTGTGGGGCAGTTTCTCTGTTTTATTGACAAAACTGTGCTTTTAGTGTTTTAATCTCTTATTATTGTGATCTTATCTGTGCGGTGTGTGTGTGTGTGTGTGTGTGTGTTTATCCCTATTTTAGTGTTTTTAGTTGCTGTATCAGCCTGTGAAGCCCTTTGGTCAGCTCTCATGCTGTGTATAGAATTGTGCTATACAAATAAGATGGTATGGTATGGTAAGAGGCAGCAAAAGTTACAGTTACCCAGTATTTACCCAATCAGAAGCATCAACCCTTTCCCTTATCTTAAGGAACGTCATCTCCTTTAAAAGACCAACTTTCTCTCCCAGAGTTGGAGAAACAGACATAACTTCTCAGACTGATATCTGAATAAATCTTTTTATCACATTGGTTGTTTTATGGTTACGATCTCTGGCTGTATAAATCCCTTCATTCCCTTATGAAGATGTTGAGCCATAAATAAACAAGAGCAGAGTTTCCTTTCATGGTTGTCACATGACGCACTGCAGTTAAACTGAATTTAAGGTCCGGGCACCAACGTGCGTCACTGCATGTCTTAAGGATCGTTCGCTTTGAGCCAGAGCATAAAAGCATGTGGGACGCTGACTTCATCAGTTTGTTCTGGGTGTCCTCAGGGTTACGGAGGGAAGTTCAGAGCATTCCTTCTCCCGGCTTACAGAGAACAAATATCCTGATATGGAGAAAGGGACACATGATATAAACTCGTCGTCTACTCAGAGCGGGTAAATGAAAAAGTCGTTTATTATAGAAGAAGCCTGATCCCAAACCAGTAAGAGGTGATTTAACCTCTGGGTCCAGCTTGTTACAAACTGAATAACAATTAAGGTAAACTCCATGAAGGAATGCAGATCGGTCATTTAAACTACGGTCATCCAGTGTTGATGATGAATGGCGGATTCATTGTTGTTTAGGCTGGGTTATAAATTGGATTTAGCTTCAAGTCTGTAAAAATGAGCTGAATGTTAACAATTCTGGTCAGTTGGCTGTGGTGGCCATCTTGGATTTGAGTGACTCTGGTAATGATTGGTTGTAGTCCTGAGAGTTTCAGTTCAAATCCATCCAGCGGTTCTGGAGATACTTCGCTACGAGAACACATGCAGAGGTAAAAACATTATAGGTGCTTTTTAAGCAACACAGATTAAAGCTGAATCAGGAGGAAAGACGGGAAAACAAGTCTAACAAATTCTTCAGCAGAAAGATCAAATAAACGATTATTTTCTTACACCTAAAGCCAAGAAAACATCCCCGACAGTCTTCTGCTGAGGTCAAAGGTCAATGTGTTGGTGTAAACCCTCCTTGCCGACTGGTTTTTATCAGACTTTCAGGATTACGAGGAGGTGAAGCCAGCAAGCGTGGGGAGTGAAGTGAGGCAGTTACGTGTCTGCAGCATGCTTCCCACATTCGTCAGCTGTGAGAGGATCCTGAGGGAACCGCTCAAACGTCTGGCAGAAGATCGCTCCAGCTTTACTGTACCAGTACTGTAACCTCCACTCCATCTGGAGCCACTCAGAGCCCGTTTGCTGGAGATTATTCATTACTGCTCACCAAACAGGGATCAGAAAGGGCGGCGTTCCAACAGAGTTCTCTTTTGCCTGCGTCTTTATTCTTATCAAACGTTTTCCTTCTCTGTGCTTCTGTACGTTCTCCACCTCCTCAGAGCTGGAGCAGAACCGTGGTTTGGTCCTGCTCCAGCTCCACCAGCATGTGCTTGTCGGCTCTACGCCAAACGGCTTCTCATGAACTAAGGAGATGAAGCGATTGCTCCTTTTTGGCATATCCCGTTTGACAAATGACAAATTATCTACACACGCTCAGTTTCAGAGCTGCAGTGATTTCATTTGGACAAACGCAAACCGTGAACGTGTTTTATCAGGAAAACCGAGACGTTCCTCCCCAATAAAAGTCAACAACCAGAACTTCATTCAGGACAACGTTTGACACCATCTTCACAATCACCACAATCAGAGCTGTCAGCCATGGAGATGAATACGGACAAAGCCAGCTTCATAATATGTGTTCAGTAGGTGGAGGTTAGAGGTGAGGTGAGCTAAATGGCCTGTATTTGATATAGCGCCTTCTAGAGTCCTGGAACCCCCCAAGGCGCTTTACAACACAACCAGTCATTCACCTATTCACACACACATTCACACCCTGGTGGGGATGAGCTACGATGTAGCCACAGCTGCCCTGGGGCGCACTGACAGAGGCGAGGCTGCCGAGCACAGGCACCACCGGTCCCTCCGACCACCACCAGCAGGCAACGTGGGTTAAGCGTCTTGCCCAAGGACACAACGACAGCGACAGACTGAGCGGGGCTCGAACCTGCAACCTTCCGGTTACGGGGCGAGCTCTTAACTCCTGTGCCACTGTCGCCCACTGGCAGAGCAAGAGGTGGCAAAAATCAACATTAACGATCTTACTAAAGTTTACATAAATAACCCAAAACCAGCGATGAACATGAAGTGTGTGTGTGTGTGTGTGTGTGTGTGTGTGTGTGTGTGTGTGTGTGTGTTTGGGGGGGCTGGATGAACCAGGACACGCTGAAGAGATCTAATGCTGTTCTGGTAAAGCCACAGGTGGAGGATGCTGAGGTGTTTTGGTCCTCTCTGCTGGAACGGCTGACCCTGTGACCCGGACCAAGGTAAGTGTACATAAAACGCAGGGACAGAGTTTATATGTGTCATTGCTGGATGCCTCTAGCAGACTTCTCCTCAGCTCACAAGGATAAGCCCCCTCCTCTCTCCCAGAGGCTGTTGTGGTTCAAAACCATCTCTCCTTCATTGTGACGTTTAAAGACGAACACGCCAAATATAAAGATTACATCTATGAGTGATGCAGGGACCAGCTCCGTGGTTTCATACCTGCTGGCCCGTCTCATACGTCCAGTAACAGTGTATTTTGGGACTCCTTCAATCTCAGCATTAACCCTAACCCTTAAGTGTTTTAATCAAGTAATCTGACATCTGTCCACCCCTAACCCAACATCTTTTTGCAAAATGAGTTTTTATCGCCTCTAATCTCTCCAAACTTTAAGTTTCCAAGAAAAAAGCAGCATCTTTATTTTGTATAATTAAAATATTCTAATATTAAGTGAAGTTACAGATCTGAGAGGAAAATGCATTTTTAGATCTGGTTTTCTTGATGTAACCATTCAGATGGAGCACAACTATCCCTCTGGGCCCTCCGGGATCATGGAGGGATCACAAGAAATTTGGAAAACATCCTTCCAGTAAGAAGATCTCCATGAACTGGGTCATTTGTCCCACATCCCTGAGTTGCAGAATGATTCATTTATAATCTCTTATCAACTCTTTGGCTATATTTTCTGTACTCTGGTGTCTCGTTTTGCAGATTAATCACAAGACTGGAAATGTCTGATCGATTTTGGGTTGAGGTGAGGAGTTTCACACCTCAAACAGACGGTTTCTAAAACACAAGAATACGTCCAGGAGAAAACAAATAAATCATCTCAAACTCTAGAAACTCAAACCACAGCAACTGATGAAGAAACAGGAAGTGGAAAAGGTCTTACCTTGATGGTCGGCGCCGTGACTCCATGCTTTTTGAAGACTTTGTTGAACCCTGCAGAAGATTAAAATATTACTGAGTGATCCAGCTCCTGTTCTTCAGGTTGAAGATTTTATATCAAAACATAAAACAAGACAAACTGTAAAGCTGACTAAACTATTTCACCAGTTTGGTCCACTCTGAGTAATAAATGCACCATTTGGTAAATTAAAGCACATTTTGACCTTTTAATGGGGCGGAGTTTATGATGTCAGGACAGATTCACATGATGTCTTCACGGAGCTAAAGGTACCCGACTCCCTCATCTCCTCCCTTTAAATTGGGCGGGGGTATTTGTTTCACTCTCCTGTGGTCCCTGGGTCACATGAATGTGGGGCTGGGGGGACTGGTATCCATCATCATGTATTACTCAGATGGGTCTGGTATGGCTAACCACCGGAGTCGAGCCCTCTGCAGGAGCGTTGGCGCTCCAAACTCAGCTGTCTGTGGGTTGAATCAACAGTGATTCCTGGTCATCCAGGACACAGGAATCCTGGGTTTGATCTAAAAACTGGATTTCTTTTTGTGAAACTTCATTTCTTATACCTGGAGATTTTTCAATTTTAATAAAGTTTAAACGTTAAAACCTGCCATTCCTGTCCAACACAGGCAGATATTCCAATGAGAAGCTCAACAACTTCAAAAACAAGAGTACAAGTCTTGTTGGGATACATGAAAAGCTGCACGTTTAAAGCTAAACGTTTCAAACTTACTGCACTGATGAACGCTTTAAAGAGATCCTGGACGAGCCCCCAAAACCCTGACAGTTTTGATTTGTGGTTTTTCTGCTCCAACATACTAGATTCAGTGGTTAAATCACCTGTACTGAAGCTCATCAGGCTCTGCAGAAGCCTGTTAATCACCTGCTGACTGAAATCAGGTGTGTTGAAGCAGAGTTAACACTAAAACATGCTGGATACCGGCCCCCCAGGACCAGGATTGGGCACCCCTGGTCGAAAGACTGCAGGAAAGAAGTTTGTTATCCTTTTCTCAATCAACTCAATGATCTGCTAGGTAAATAAACTCTTATAAAATGAGCTAATTATTGGAAAGTTCACCTTGTGCTGAAGTTATTTACAACTCTTTTGATTTCTGGTCTCAGTTGGCATTCAGTAGGCAATTTGCTGCAATAAATGAGCTTGTTAGACTCCTCACTGTACAAGATCTTCATTCTGTGAATACTTTGTGACTAAAAACTGTAGCTGAGAAGCTCCTTGTGGGGATCCTTGGACAAAATTATTACCAGCTACATTTATGTGCTTCATCCTGCATCTCGATTTTCCCATGAGACGGTTTGCCCAACTGAGGTGACACAGAGGAAATACCCCACTTTCTGTCTGTGCTTTGGCTTAATCACTTCAGCATGCTGGATGAAGCTTTAGAGTCCAGTGAGAGATGAACGAGCACCCAGGCGAGAGGCTTTCAGAGACAGCCGAGTGGAGCTCTAAGCTCTTATTTTAGTAAATTTGTGTCTAGAAATGACCATAGTGAGCTGATCCAAACATCCTCACAGTTCTGAATTGTGACATGCGCCCCGAGAAACAAACAGACCTTAATTAGACACTGCAGCTCAGCAAGAAGAAGTGATGCAAAAACAGCAGTTAACTCCTAGTTTGGGCTTCAAATGAGACCGAACTGCTGTGTGGTGGTTTTCATGAGCCACATCACTTAAGTCTAAGTGCCACCATCTGTGTAAATCACAGCAATTCAATCAAACTCTGATCGGTAACTTGATAATAACTTTCACTCTGAAAAAACATGTTTCATTAGCAGAACTCATTAGGAGAGCTTCGCTCTTCAGCTGCAGCTCGGACAGAGTAAAAACGAAAATGGTTTCACTTTTTCAGGAATCAAAAGATTAATTTTCCCAGAGCAGTAAATCTAAAGAAGCCCCGTGTGCATCCTAAAGCTGTGCATTTGGAGGGAGAGCGCTGGAGGAGCAGAAGGAGGTGGGAAGTCGAGTGGGGGGTCCTGCAGGCCATGTTTTAAAAGATGAAAACCATCTGGGGAGGTCGACTTTACAAGCAAGCCATACAAATTAACCATCTGAGAAAGAGCAAGAGAGAGAGGGAAGGATGGAGGAAGGGAGGCTTGGAGTCGTTGGGGGCTGGTAAGAATCTGCCAGGGAGTCCAGAGAAACTTTTCTGACGAGGGAAAAAATCCAGCTGAAATTCGATAAAGCCATCCGTTCTAACCTCAACAGCATCCTACCTTCCTGAATAGGTGGCCCGTACTCCATCGCCATGCCCCCCTCAGAGAGGAGAGTCGCCTCCTCAGAGAACCTCCTCGGTTCATCTCTGGAGAGCTGCTGCTGACTCTGAGAGCAGCGCTGAAGACCTTCCTGTGGGACCTCTCCCTTTTCTCAAAAACAAGGGCTCTAATTTGGGCCACAGCAGCTCCGACCATGCTCCTCCACAGCGCTCCTCTTCTGTGTTCTCCCTTCTCTCCTTCTATCCGCCGTCGCTTCCCTCCCCCCCTTAAACTCTGCCTACCATCAAGTTATCTCTCCCCCTGATATCCAGCTTCTCCCTCCCTCCCATCTGTTTGCAGATCTAAATTGTGGACCTTTTCCGTCTCAAACACGTGGGAACTGATGCATGTTTATAAGAACACACGAGGGACAGGCGCAGCTTAATAGTTTTTGATTATTAGCTAAATACTTCAGACATGAAGTGTGTTCTGATCAAACAAAGAGAAACGGAGGCAGGAGGAGGTGCTGCAGTCATGAGACGAGCGCCGTTGATGCTCTAAGGCGATGGGGTGCAGCTGAACATCCGCCTGACACCACAGCCCAACCACAAGGCAAACAACAACAGCTGCACACGAACACATGCTAACGGACGTCTGAAACACGCTATAAACATGTGATCATACTGTAAGCTTGAAAACACAAACGATGTACATCACAGACTTACAGAATGGATGTGAATCAGGCTTTAAACATCACTTTTATTCACAGTTTCATGCATTTTCTGGAGAAAATTGCAAATTTCTTCTCAGTTTCAGTCATTGTACATGAAGACGTGACATAGCGTGGTTGGGAAATGACAAAAGTGGTGGAGAATCAGGCATCAGGCCTAAAACACCAGAACATGAGCAACATCGAGGGCAGGAAATGGTTTCAGCTAACAGCTTCTGTTACCATGGCAACTTACAGACTCAACTTAAGCAGTCTGAACAAATCCTGTAAAAAGGTAACACTGGCTCATCCCTTGAGTTATGGGGTATGTTGATGTCTGGGTTAGAAGAGCTCTAGAGCTGAAAAACCAACAAAATGTTTGAAAAGTTCCCATAGATGTGAAGCTCTTCCACTAGGCATCTTCACATCTTTCTGAGCAACATATTGCGTGCACTCAAGAGTTTTCCTCCCATCACTGGATGAAAACTGTGGGATAAGTTAGGGAATACCAATGAAAGCCACCACACAAACACAACACACACAAACAAAGACATTCCTGCACAGTTTTAGCTCTTGTGGGGAAAGCGGGCGCTTGGCTCCGGATTGTTACTCTAAATGGGATACTCCATCCTCCCTTTCCCAGACAAAACCAGCTCACAGGAAGTCGTCACAGACAACTATTGTCCAACGAGTCCAAAACAAACATGGACACATGTTTGTGTTGCCGTAAGTAACACACGAGGAGGGGGGTCATTACTTTGAGGTTTTGGTTTGACTCAACGGGTTTAGTTTAAGTATGTTATTATCTGGAGCTACCTGTGGAGTCTGGACTGGGGCCAGTAGGTCCACCAACACGGCAGGAAGTTTCTACACTTCATAAGATCTCCAATCATCTCAGCTGCACAGTTCTGTTCTGAAGACTCTGTTTTTATTCACTGGCACACAGAAAATGGTTCTGATACTCTGAGGTCAAATCACCTGCTTGCTGCATCACTTTGGTATTAATTTCACATAAAACAACTCCCAGTTTCACATGTTTGAATGTTTGACGCCGGGAGTTTTGTAGAAATTCGTAAAACCAGCCCAAATGACTTCTAAACAGTCAAATGCATCATGACACAAGTCCCCTTTGTTGCAGCACAGAAATATGGTTTCATTAATAATTAAAGACCTCTCACTTAGAAATGCATATCAGCAGACATCAGTATGACTCTTGGCTGCAAACACAACAAATGTCAGATCAATATCTGTCAAACTGACTGAGTTAGAAGCATTTTAAAGTTTTCCAAGGTCAGTTTGTTCTGGCAGCCATCTTGAATTGGGTTGGCTCCAAAATTAATCACTTCTGGATGTTTTTCCCAATTTCTCCGAGTTCCACTATGAAGTTCCGCTGTTGATTCATGTCACAGCTCACTAACCCCGACTCGACTGTTGTCTCAAATCCACACCTACACTTCTGGCTTTAAAGCTAAAATAGCAAATCTGCAAAACAAGCTAGCTTAAAACATTTATATGGCCTCTTAGCAACATTCTGACATAGTATGGCTACATATTGTGGAGATTTAAAATAAATAAATAAATAAATAAATGGTTCTCTTGCATTTGTTTAAAACCTCAGCCAACAACACGGCTCAGTCCAAAATCAACCATTGGACCATCCCATTGTCAGTCTCACCAAACCACTGCAGTTCCCCTGGTCCTCCACTCATCACACACTCATGTATTCAGCACTAGATCACCACTGGTGTGAGAGGTTCTCCGCTCAATAACATCAGAGGAGAAACAGCCGGCTGCTACCACTTCAGCTTTAGGACAAACTACCAGAGTCCCAAAAAGAAAATCACCATCTGAAGACAACAAAAGCTGTTTGGACCTAGAAAACAGCGACTGGTGTTAAGCACCATCTTGTTTCCTCTGGTAATGCAGGTCCCGGTATCAGACGGAGGTATAGGGATGATAACCGAAGGAAGGGGGGAGTTTTTTGTGAGTGTTTGTGTTTAAAAGCTAGCTTGTTTTGTTGATTTGTCATTGCAGCTTTACAGCTTCCAGGTGGAGTTTCAGGACTAGTACCTTCATCAGAAACATGTCCTAACCAGTCCTAATATGTCTACTGCCCTCTGGTGGAGGATCTACAGGTGGCAAGGGGCAATTTTATTTCTTTATAACTGTTTTGTAATCATTTTAAAACTAAATTACATGATAATAATAATTATTATAATTTCTTATTTCAGGCTTTAAAGGAGACCAACAGATCTGACCTAAACTCTTGAATGACTGACAGCTACCAGCTACAGCCACCAGCCCAAAGTTTTGCTCAACAAATGTATAAAATACATGTGAGACGTTTTAGTGTTTTAATGGCCATGTGGCTGTGGCGGCCATATTTAATTTGGTTAGTTCCAATAATGAGTCACCTATAGATGGTCGTTGAGTGGTAATCCTATCCCTAACCTGACACCTGAGGGACTTTAGTGTACTTGTGGTTGGTTCTGTGTTTTATCCCATTTAATTTTTTTTTTTGTGGTTCGTCATCATACAGAGAAAATACAGCTTGGTAAAAGGTAAAGCAAGTTATGATTGCATCGTTAGGTAAATCGGGGGCCCGTTGTTAATCCAATCAACAGTTTATGCTGGATTAGAAAATAAACAAGGATGAACCAAAAACTCACCATGGTGTCTACATGTTTGAGAGTAAGGTCACTGCTTGGTGCCTGTTTAGAAAAACAAAACAATAACAGTCATTAGCAACATTTTTCCAAGTGATGTCGTGACGTGACATTTTCCTACAACGTGATCTGTTCAAGTCACACTTAAAACTCGTCTGTGCCCTAATGTGGCCCAGAGAAGAGCAGAACTCCGCCCTCCAATTCGTGGGACCATCTATAATCCTTCTGTGCAAATATTTACTCAAAGAGACAAGCCTGCTGCCTTTAGCCAGGACTAGAGGGTCTGGCCATGGGTCGCTCCTTATACAGCTACGAGTAGAGAGAGAGGGAACAGGACACAGTGGGATAACCCCAGATAAAAGGAGGGAGGACGTCGAGGTCGGAATGAGAAAGAAACCAGAATACAAACAGGTTAGAGGTTGTAAAGGGAAAAGATGAATGTAGAAAAGAGTTTTTGTGGGATTGGGTAACCTCAGACTCACACATGCCTGCAGATTTATGAGACTAAAGGGAAAGCAAACGGCTGGGAATCAATCCATCGTTCCACACCGCCCAACTAGACACCAAGTGGAGGACGAGAGTTTAGTGGAAACCATCAGAAAACAAAATGTTATAAAATAGCTAAAGAGTCATAAACATCAAACACGATGTGTGGATCAGGCCATATTTATCCTGGATAGGAGGAATTTCAGGAAGATCATGGAAGAGCATCCTTCTCTGGATTTAGAGAGTCCTGAACAGCCTCTGTTTAGAGGAACAGGGTTCTCAGTCAGATTGAGGAGTTAACGGATAGTCTGAGACTAAAGGGTGTTGCTGCATACTTTTTATCTCACTAAGTGGGAACAGTGGGACTTCGCCTACAGTAGCAAGACAGCGGTAGCTCAGGAGGTAGAGCGGGTTGTCCAGTAATCAAAAGGTTGCAGGTTCAATCCTGGCTCTCACCAGAGAATGCTGCTGTTGAGTCCTTGGGCAAGACACTTAACACACCTTGTCTGCTGGTGGTGGTCAGAGGGACCGGTGGCACCTGTGTTGGGCAGGCCTCACCCCAGAGCAGCTGTGGCTAGCTCATCCCCACCAGCGTGTGAACGGGTGAATGACTGATTGTGTTGTGAAGCGCCTTGGGGGGTTGTAGAACCCTAAGAAGGTGCTTTACAAATATAAGCCCTTTACCATTTACAATTAATAATTCACAAATGTAAAAGAAATAAATAACAACAATTTTGATGCATTAAACTAACCACAAAAAAACAAGCAGGTATGACATCTGTCCCAGGAGGTTAAAGCCTAAACTGTCCTCAATACTGACGGACGTTAACCCTACTTCTCTAAACGCAGGCTGTTCAGGACACTTCTCTACAGGGGTAAGGACAGTAACACACTTTGCTTTGTGCTCCTGGGACTCACTTTGTGGTCAGGAAGCATTGTGCTAAGCAGTTTTACACCTAAATGCCTAATTGTCACAAAACAGACAGTTTTAGCACACTGATGACATCATTGGTAAGATTTATTGTTTTAGATGTGGTGATCTGAGAAGTGGTGCCTAGCAGGGATCTCTGGAGAGTTGCACAGAGAGCAGGGCTCTGACACCAGGACCTGCTGCTGCACAAGGCTTTGCTGAAATATAAACAGTAAAAGGCAGAAGGGTAAATTATAGTCTGACTCTACAGTCACCGAACGCCCAGAAGAAACCACCAACACCACCGGGATCGTCCCAGCTCTGCTCTGAACTGCAGCTGCGCAACTGGAAACCTAAAACTATGAGGACAAACTACCTGCTGTCCAAAGCTCCATCTAGGAATAGGGGAAGAGGAAATGGGCCGCCGGTCTAGGCTCTAAATACAGACTGTGGGTTCACTCCTGGGCCAAAGTTTGCAGCCGCAGGCATTTTCACACAACCAGTTCTCACAATGAGACTCCAACGTGCATTTACGCTTTGCACAATTGTAGCCAGATGGTTGGTGAGTGTTTGTGTTGCTGTTGCTCGTAAGAGCATGAGAAGTTGTGCATCAGCAAATTGGTTTAAAAAGGGACGATTGTAAGAGAAATACTTAAAATCAGCATGTTGGGCTCAGTTATCTGTCAGTTGACTTTAAAAAGTTAATCTATTAGAAGTAATAAGTTTTTTCTTAGGTTAAACACGCTCGAGTTTGTGTTTGTGCAGGTGCGACACAGATCTACCAAAGCTAAAACTGCCAGATGAAATCTTAACCTTATGAACTTCAAACGTTTCACATTGATGACAAAGCTCTTCTAACGAGCCGTAATTATAACAGGTGAAGAAGCGAAGTTCTGCACCTGCAGCACTGGCCCAATCACCAGCTCACAAAGGTTTCTGTTCTACAGAACAACTGCAGCTGCATCTTTCCTATAAATAATTAGATTAAATGAAAACTAATGATCTGCTGCGGAGGGTCTGACTTTCACTCGGAGTCATCCGCTTAAGCCGAGTCAGCTGAGCATCATGTTGGGTTTGTTCTCATGTTAGAAGCTAAATATAAGCTGCTGTTTTTCTACTTTTTGTTGTTAAAGGAAAGAATTTCCTGTTTCATATCTGACTGAGAATGTTTCTGAGAGGCTGCAGGATCGTTCTCAGTTTTTGTAAAGCTCCACCTGACTGCAGAACCTTTGGAAGATCAAAAGCTTTTGGATTAGTGTAAAACATTTCATCCATCAGTGATAATAACCTGACATTCTCGTTATTTCCCTACAAAGGTCCCTCTAAGGGCCCCACATCTTCACAATCTGATTATTCTGCAGCAGCTCTAAAGTCAGGAGCTGTTATCTTTGCTCATGTTTGAAACCAACAGCCCTGTCTGTCTCTTTTTCCTTTTCACATGAGCACAGAGGCTTCTTTGACAGCAAATTACAGCCCCGCTCCTTGTAGCGAAGCAGAAGTAGCTTGTGAGCTGGGAGTTTCCTCCCCAAAAGCTTGAGCATGTTGTGGAAATGACCCTGAGCTAAATATACAACTCTGCCTCTTTAGAGCTCCAGACACAGCACATTAGGCCCATCCCAGCTGGCTCAGTGTGGACAGAGAAGTTAAAATTACCCCTGTTGGGTGTGGGACAACCAGGAAGAGAGTAAAAACACCGTGTGGAGGTTTGTTTACATTCATGTAGAAAGATGAGCCAGCAAAAACTGGATAAACTGAGCCTAAACCTCCTGTTTTGGTCAAGCAGGAGAGAAACTATGAAACTATTAACCTGTGAGGATCTGATATAATCATTCACCACCCTGTAACAGGAACACACCTTTAAATATGCTAAATAGTGTGTCCTAGTGGAGAACACAAGTGTAATGTATCAAAAGGGTGAATGGGTGTACACCGCTGCCCATGGTGCTCCACGGGGACCTCGTTCCCTCCTTAGGTGTTGTTGACTACAACGGCGCCAGAGTGACCAGTCGATCTAGTATCTCTAAGGTCAGTGACACCCACAGAGTCTGCGTCGTCTCTGCACCAGAATCACTTCACCCTGCGGTGGGGACGACACTTGCCGAAAGGGGGGCTGATGACATCACTGATTCTACACCACTACATTTGGCACTGGTGATCTCTAGCCCTGAACTGGGTGACTCACTCATCGAAGGGGAAGTTGAATGTCGCCCAGTACCACTACTGGCTCACGCTGATCTCTCTGACTGCACCTGCGCGTCGACCGAGGACCCTCCAGAGGGCACACCTGCGCCGAACCCTCGTAAGGCTGCGCCTGCGCCAGTCTACAGTCTGAAGCAACTTTGGTTTCAGGTTTCAGGGCTGACAAGGTATCTTGTGCTAGTTGCGTGTGTCTGTCTGATGTCAAACGCGGTAAAGCTTCCTCCACAGCCTCCCCTAACGCGACTGTACGAATCTGGGCCCTCATGTATAATCATTAAATTAGAAAAGAATAAAATTCCTTTTTAACTATATACTTGACTCTTTCTGAATTAATACGAAGTGTGTTTATGGTCCCTGAACAAGTAAAAGTAATTATAATCTTCTAATTAAACATTCAAAGATAAAACAGATTGATATTTCTTATTTATATGGAATCATCACAACTTCCATCAACCCATCCATTTTCATCCGGTTATCAGGAGTCAGGTCGCCGGGGCAGTAGCCTAAGGCGAGAGGACCAGACTTCCCTCTCCCCAGCCACTTGGGCCAGCTCCTCCGCGGGAATCCCAAGGCGTTCCCTGGTCAGGTGAGAGACATAGTCCCTCCACCGTATCCTGGGTCTACCTTTAGGCCTCCTCCCGGTTGGACGTGCCCGGAAAACCTCACCAGGGAGGCGTCCAGGAGGCATCCTGACCAGATGCCCGAGCCACCTCAACTGGCTCCTCTCGATGTGGAGGAGCAGCGGGTCTACTCCGAGCCCCTCCCGGATGACTGAGCTTCTCACCCTATCTCTAAGGGAGAGCCCAGACACCCTGCGGAGAAAACTCATTTCGGCCGCTTGTATCCGCAATCTCGTTCTTTCGGTCACTACCCAAAGCTCATGACCATAGGTGAGGGTAGGAACGTAGATCGACCGGTAAATCGAGAGCTTCATCTTCTGACTCAGCTCTCTCTTCACCACGACAGACCGGTACAACGCCCGCATCACTGCAGATGCAACACCAATCCGCCTATCGATCTCACGCTCCCGTTTTCCCTCACTCATGAACAAGACCCCGAGATACTTAAACTCCTCCACTTGGGGCAGGACCTCATCCCTGACCCGGAGAAGGCATTCTACCCTTTTCCGAATCAAGACCATGGTCTCAGATTTGGAGGAGCTGATTCTCACCCCAGCTGCTTCACACTCAGCTGCGAACCGCTCCAGCGAAAGCTGAAGATCACGTTCTGATGAAGCCAACAGGACCACATCATCCACAAAAAGCAGAGGCCTGATCCTCAGGCCACCAAAACAGATGCCCCCCACACCTTGGCTGTGCCTAGAAATCCTGTCCATAATGGTTATGAACAGAATCGGTGACATAGGGCAGCCTTGGCCGAGTCCAACTCTCACTGGGAACGAGCCCGACTTACTGCCAGCAATGCGGACCAAGCTCTGACACCGGTCATA